AGGGAACTGACCCTGAAGACGAGCCCGCCCCCGATCCGGCACGCGCCCACGAGCACCACAAAAAAAACAAAAAGATGACGTCACCGTACTGACAAAAACATGATGTCACCGATTTGCGGTTTCAGGATATTCTAAAAAATTTTAGTGTTCCTTCCCTTTTATTCAAACAACCCCCCCTCTTTGATGTCGGGCGGGGCTATGTTTTTGTTATTGCAAAACGGGTTTTTGCGAAGTTTTTGGGCACGAGAAAGGCCTCTTAAAAGCTCTTGCTTTTGAAATTCGTGTCTGTTATAACCCGAGGTTGTGCCCTATCCACGTTTGGTCTATGCTCCAGACCAGGTCTAGCGCAAAACTTACATAGCGGTCCCGCAAATGGTCTTCTTTTTGGGTTATTACAGGTGCGCCGACCATCCGAGAACCCCTGTTCGATGATGGGCTTTTTTTTCACAATTTTTGGCGCACTTTAGGGATCCTCCAAGAAAGTTGTTCACTCATCGCTCGCGCAAGCGGCCTCTTCTATTAATTGTACCATGTCAACATATGTGGGGCACGTTGAGGCCGGCGCTGACTTCTTGAGTTCCCCGATTGTTTCTTGATAGTGCGCGTATTTGGTTTCGTCCAAGCACAACTCTGGATAATTATTGTAAACACTTGTATAGAAATACTCTAAACCTTTCCAGCGCAGCGGTTTTATACTCGTACCCCGCTCTTCAAGAAAAGAATCTACTGCTTGTATAAATGTCATTTCCATCCGCGCACCCCACGACGCTAAACCGCTAGCATCACAAAAAAAACAAAAACATGACGTCACCGCTTTGCGGTTTCAGGATATTCTAAAAAATTTTAGTGTTCCTTCCCTTTTACTCAAACGGTGGGGGTGTCGATCGGCAACTCTCGAACTCGTGTGATCCGTCGTAGCCGCCAGTTCTACTCTGAACTGCTGCGTGTGATAGCTCAAACGTGTCCACCGGTCGCGCAAGCACCATTGCGCTGCGCGCCATTGCCCCCCCTGCTTTTCCACATCGGATCGTACCGGTCCACACAGTGGACCCAGAACCCTTAGAAAGCTCGGGCAAAGCTAGGGCTGGCCCGAGTTCGTCGGGGTTTATGTACAACGGTGGGCGTCCACCGGATCGCGTTTGTTAAAGGTTTGCTTACGAAACAGGCGCGTTTTTGCTCTGCGTTTTGTGGACATATTTGCGACGAAACCTAGAGCCTAGGATGCGCCTGATCGAGGATTTAGAAAGTGTATAACGGTTGTATCGAGCGGTGGTTGCAATATTGCTGTGCCCCAGAATTTAACGCGCCTCGTCTAAGCCAAACTTTTCTATAATACTTGTGATTAAGCCAATACGAAACGGGTGTTATGTCGCCCACCTAAAACTACTAACTTTCAATTCCGGCAGAGCCGGAATGACCCGCAGCGCCAATGGCATTGACACCCCTTCGGCGCTTGCACACTCTTACGGCAATCAGTTTTTTTGACGATTGATCTACTACTGAATCACGACCACTATAAATAACTACAGGTTCACGATAAACACACCTAATCACAAAATAGAAACATTCTCACAAAAGAGTATATCGTTTTGGACTCGGGACGGGTCCTAAATGCTAAAACGGGTTAAATGGGCTTTGTGTCGGGGTTTTTGGAGAGTGGTCTGGTTCTATGTCTTCAGATTTTCCAATAGATTGAACCGTTTGACAAACTACACGACCACAGTCACGCACCAGCCGATCCGCGGCGGCTTGCAAATTTTGAGATTGGATACCGCTAGCGGCAGAAGCATCACCAGCGTGCTCACCAACTGCACTTTTTTCGATGCGCTCATCAATAGTACGGCGCATTTTTTCGTGAACAGTCCACATGAAAGAACCTGTTGACTTATTTGGTTCACCGGTATTTTGTGGAAACATGTGGTTAATCACGGAGGTTGTAGATGGCCGAATAATTGAATAAATGATTTTGCCAAGCGTGGTCCAGTAGAATGCAAGGCTACACACAAGTAATTGCCAGCGACGTGGTATTGTTCGATGCATTACAAAACGATAACTTGTGTTGATAATAATGTAAACCATTGGCGCCATCAGAAGAGAATTAAACACAAAAATTAGCATCTCTGTTCAATTTGTAGGAACAATAAACATCATTTCTGTGATTAATCCAAATGTACCGTATAGTGACAAATAAATTGGGATGCTCACCATTAATCGCAACATATTAAATCTAAAATTCCATTTGAAATTATTCCAATCAACACCTTCTATGAGAACAAAAATTAAGAAAAATTCACATACATACAGCAGCAATGCCCTGAGGTTTAAATAGGATAATACCACACAAGAAAGAGTCACGCAAAGCCAGATCCAAGGATCCCGGCAGCTCGCTGGAGCTGAAGTTAAATAATCGAATATTTTTTTGAATATAGAATAATTATACATGTTCTATTATAATTTAATTTCGCGTAGTCGGTAGCCTCTTGGCAAGCCCAGGTCGTGAGGCGTCCGATAGGGAGGCCAAGCAGTGACCCGTTTGCACGTTCGTTGGCCCCGAACGCAGTGAGGGGCAAGTCACTCGCGGCCTAGCGCCGTGGGCCGACAGGTCGCCGGCGCAATTTCCCGGCCACCGCGCTGCCCCAGCAAGCGCCATTTTTCAGGCAGTTTAGGCTCGTTGCTACGCAAACGGCCACCATTGGGCGCGGCTGCATGAATCGAACATGCGTCCCCCCTTACGGGAGGCTAGACCGTTGATACCTAGTGCTGGGCAGACTTATGGGGATTCTTCTGCGGCGAGAAGTGCGTAGGCCCCCGAAGGGGGCGATGCCGGGGGAACGCGCTTGCCCCCCGCCAAGCCCGACCTTGGCGGTCGGCGCGCTATACAATAAAAAAATGACAGACATTAGTACCGCTCAGCGGTCGCAGCGTGTGTTACCGTAAAATACCCGCTGCCGTGAAACGCGCTAGTATGCGCTGACCCGAGTTCTACTATTTCATAGTCTCGGAACCCCTGCACAGTTGCGACGCGGGGTAGAAAACAATAGAATCGTGCTCGCTTCACTCGGACCTTGACGCGCGGCCCTCGCGACCTTGGTCGAAATCAAAATAGAGCCTGTCGCGCGCTTGGGCGCGCCAACGTCGCTGCAGTGCGCGCGAAGTTTTCGGATTCGCCGCTTCGGGCATTTCAGAATATCCCGGTCGTCGGCGCGCTTGCGCGCGCCCTCTGGAGATAGGCAAACGCTTTTGGGGCCGGCGGCAATTTATGTGCCTACGCCAAGGGCCGCTTGGGCCTCGCGCGTCCTCCCCGACGCGACCCGTCATTCGATGGCGCGTCCAAAGACCAGGGGGTAGGACGGGTCGCAGAAGAGCCCGCAGAAGCGCGCGTCCACCCAAGCGGGCGAGTCTTGCCAGAGGATCCGTATACCCAGTCCACTTTGTGGACGTCGGGATTCGGCACGGGTCTCGAGTCTTGGGGCGCGGGGAACCCTGTGCATTTAAGATTCACGTGCAGCACTCACACTTGATAGTGTTGTTTGCAATTTATTAAGAATGGTCGAGGCTTGTTCATATAATTGCTGAAGTTCTTCGGATTGAAATTTGCCTGAGTCGTCCAGGAATTCAAAATTATTTTCATTTTTTAAAATATAGAATATTTCATTAACATTTAATGTTAGATTACGGTTCAGTTTTTCTGAGATATGCCTACTTAAGACCATATAATTATAGAGCCAATCGGCTTGAGTCGGATTAAAGCCATAGTCCCATAAACTGCGATAAATTACGTACTTTTGTCCTGAGGGTTGTTTTAGCAATAGAATTTCAACATCCGTTGGTTTTTCATGTTGACGAAGGTCTAAGTAAACTTGTAACATTTGGGCCTGTTTGTCCAGGTCTAATAGTAAATAATCTTTTATATGCATACGGATACTCATATTATATTATAGATTGCTGTGAAGTGGTGACACCACGTGGTGGCGAGCTGCCGACAGGGTCGCGGTGAACACGGTTTGAGCGAGCGTAGCGAGCACCGTTCAGCCAGTGCCTTGCTCGCCCCTCACTGCGTTCGGGGCGAGCAACTCCACCGATCGACCGCCGTCGTCCAGCGCAGCGGCTGAGGCAAGCGCTTTGGGATGTTTGCCCCGGCACCCAGCATGGAAACCACATGGCAATAGAATAGAATAGCGCTTGCCCGTCCTGTCACCCGGGTCGGATGCGCTTGGCATTCCCTGGTGGGTTGTAGGCCCCGACCGAGTATTCCGAGTGCCTGGGTATACTGTGCCCCGAAGGGGCACAGGATACAACGGGGGGGTGGTGAAGTGGCCTTTCGTAAAAGCACACGCTCGCCCGACGAAGTCGGGCCAGTTTGTTGTGTGGCCCCCACGCTCTAATAAGCTTGCTGCTTACTTGCTCCTCCAACAACGAGCCCTGATTGGCGCACAGCACGTTTTCTGAGGGGCCGAGCGCGTTCGTTCCCCGAAGGGGGAAAGAAGGGAAAGAGGCCGGTTATGGGCGGCGACGACCCACTTCTGAATTGCGTCCCGTTCGTGGACGCCCAAGCCTCCTACCATTTCTGCGACCCTGGCTGCGGGTCGGGTGTCTTTCTCCCCCTTCGGGGTATGGGCTGTGGCTTCACGGTTGAGACGCAGGACCCGTCCCGAGTGTGGCCTTTTGGCCCCGGTCGGGGGCAATTGCTGCCTTGTAATCAGTGCGCGAGAGTTTTCAGCCCCAGACGTCAAGCGGCTTCCATCATTTTGCCGACCTATTCCTCTGCGTTCGCCGCCGACCTTCGGAGACCGGGAAACACACGGCACTTGGATCGCACGGTTGCCACCTAAGGTGGGCTGAGAAGCCGGCGATCACAGCTGACGGGACGCACTCTCTATTACATGTATATAAATAGCGCCCCTTCGGGGCAGCGGTCGCGGATGCAGGCTTCGAACCTGCCCAGATAACCTATGTTCCGCGAAAACCGGCCGTCGGCCTGCTATGAAAAGAAAAAAAAAGACATTAGTACAGCTCAGCTGAACCTGTTACCAGGCTTACACCCGCTGCCTATCAACGTGGTAGTCTTCCGCGAGTCTTGACACTTGTTTTGAGACACCCTTCTCGCTTAGATGCTTTCAGCGATTATGGCTTCGAACGTAGCTACCCGGCGGTGCCCCTGGCGGGACAACCGGTCTACCAGAGGTTCGGCACTCTGATTCCTTTCGTACGACAGAGCGCTTTCTCTCAGTGTCCAACACCTGGAAAAGATAGGAACCGAACTGACTCACGTCGTTCTAAACCCAACTCACGTACCGCTTTAAAGGACGAACAGTCCTACCCTTGGTACCTTCTGCAGCACCAGGTTGCGGGAACTCTCCCGTGTTATCCCCGGCGCTTGTTGGTCCGAAGGACAATGCGTAGCGTAATCGCTTGCATTATAGCGAACCTGTGGTGCGAAGAGCATCGAGTGCTGGCTAAGCCGCAGCGAGTGATGCGGACGATCCGGCCCTCGCCAGAGCCGGGTGTGGACGGCGCTGCGTCGGTGAAAAGTTGACGACAATTCGAGCGGGTCAGCAACTGCGCTTTTGCAACGCCAAAGCTGGCAGAGCTACGCACCTCGCTATGCAGACTAAATATTGGCAATAGTTGGTCTAGTGTTTATCTTCACTTGAAATAAACTTCTTTGAAACCAAGGTCATACTTGAAAAAAGCGCTTAGTGTCTGCCGAGTGGTACCTGGGCGGGCGGGAGTATGACCAATCGATGCTGCGCCATGGGCATTGTCGGCTCCGCCCTTAAATTGACGCTCCGCGGCGTGCTCATAGATTTTATATACACACTCAGGACCCGTCCCGAATACCGATCATCATCAGAAAACAGGTCAGATAATTCCGATATGAATAAAATCAACGAGAAATACAAAAAGCACTCATTTTTTCGGGGGCGCTGTTAAACTTTGGGAAGCAATTATACAAATCTTAACTGGGAAAACGATGGCGTCTACCCTTGCGCAGTCGATAGACCCACCGCCATACATGGCTGCTCGCCCCGAAGGGGCGAATTGACAACACAAACACACCACTCCAGAACAGCCCCAGAGAAATATGCTGGCAAACTTACACGGCCCCCCTCGCTGTGCTCGGGGGTATGCACGTTTTGCCTTCGGCAAACGAAACAAATGTAATTAAAATGGCGGAGCCGACAAAGAGCAGCGAAGCTGCACTTAGGGACGATGCTGCATTTAGCGGGTAGGTTTGAAGAGCAATCAGTTTTTTTGACGATTGATCTGTCCACAAACGGGACAGAGCTTTCACTACCACTGTATATAAACCCAGCGCAGCGGCTGAGGGGACGACTAGATATACACTACAGGTTAACTTTAAACACACGTAATCATAATATATTTAAACATTCTCACAAAAGAGTGTATTACACACAATTAGGGAGCTCCGCTGTGCAGCGAAGCTGCACAGATGGACCTTACAAAAAAACTCACAACAGGCACGAATTCCGCCCCTTCGGGGCGGCATAACAGAGGATTATATATGAGCGATCACCCAGAAACCACCGCTAAGTCTGACTGCCCCCCTGCGGGGGGCAGTAAAGTTGCCGTATACGCGCGCCCAACAGGCGCCGGGGCCCCTCACGCAGTACTCCTGACCGTGTCAGTTTTATCGTCCTTCGGACCCTGGTATTATAGCCACCAAAAGGAGAGATCCCCAAGCCAGTCAGAGGATTTCGGCGAAAGCCGGGGCGCTCACTGCGATTCTATCGGCGAGGCCGGACCCGCTGGGTCGTTCGAGGACGCATGTTCAGGTTCGCTGGTCGCGGAAACAGGCAACCCACGGTCGGGGCTCGTAGGAGGTGTAGCGCCGCCCTGAGAGTCCAAACCGCCGATCGCCCCCGGAGGGGGCGATTGCCATATGTTAGACCACCGCCCGTCGAGGTTTTTCAGAACGTTCGACCCCTGGGAGGGATCATTTAGGCGATGCTTGAGCATCAGATTTTCGGTGGCAAGCTGATCTAGTGCGGTCTCTAGACTGTGTCCATAGGTTGTGGTCGAACAGGTGTCACGATCTCTCCCAAACCCACCTGGCGCCCTTCGGGCGCTTTTGTCGATATCGGATTTCGAGGTCAGCAGCGTTTCGCGAATACTGTTCAATTCTTTATGCAATGCATTTTGGAACGACCGTTTTTCAGACTCTGGGACCTCGGAAAGCAGTTGATCGCAGCTGGCTCGCTGCGCTCGCCCATCTGTCCGCCAACCGTTCCTTTGCTGAATCTTTCGTATCGCCTCCGATCCGTGTCAGTTCTTACCACACCTGCTACAGCCGAGCCCGCGGCGATTCCAGCGGTCACTGCGCCCCGTGATAATGCCGAATCTTCACCCCCACCCGGCGGTTTTTGCTCCATAAGTTTGGCGACTCTTTCCAAGCGATGCGCGAGGGGGCCCTATTTCCCCGACCGGGGGCCCGCAGCTTTGCCCAGGGCTCGGCCGATCTCTTCCAGGAAGCCGCGCATCATGCGAAGTACACGCAACGGCTTTCCGCGCGCGGACAGGAATGTATATACCACTACAGTGTATAAATCCAGGAGTCGCCAATAAACTACGAGCAGGCCCAACATCACATTCATCAAGAACAGCACCCCAAAGTCACCCGGCGTTTTGTGTAGGGCGAAAACCATCGCCTGGCGTAAAAGCACTGCACTAGTTAAACAGCTGCTGGCGATAAACATTATGCAGAATTGGCGCCAGCGCGAGTGGAGCCTCTCGCGCACGAACAGGTGAGCGCCGCAGAGAGCCGAGAGTGACCGGGTCAATTTGCGCTTCGCGCAAATTCCGCGCAGCGCCAATGGATTGGCAGAAAAGAAGAGCCGGTTCAATAGCGTGCAGCGCTTTCAGTGATAAAGCACTGCACTACACAGAACAGGGCGGTCGCCAGGAGAAGTGTGGTGCCGGACCTGTGTGGATAATATGTTCACGGAAAGCAGCATAGCGGTCACCAGCGGGTATACCAATGAAAAGGCAAAATGAAAAGCCATTCTATCTAATGTGAATCCGAACAATTTCATCGGCAATATTTCGAGTGTCCTCACCCACCGCGACCCTGTTCGGACCCTCCCGTGTATCTTCCTTTTTCGAGTCACTCACTTGCGCAAATGCGCCAAACATTTTTTTAAAAAGATCACAATTATTCTTATATGCCAAATGGCCATACCCGCCTGCGGCGGGTATTATTTCGCACATTTAATTTAGTTTATTACGTAGCCTCTAGGTGCAGCACAGGCCCCAAGGTGAATTCGCGAGCCCCTACTGCCCCGACCGAGGATCCGAGCCTTCGAACGATGCCCGCGGTCGGCGGCTAACAACCCTGCGCTCGGCCCTTGGGCCGAGGGGGGGATGGCTCCTCTGGCGGCGGGCAAAGGTGGCCGGTTGCGGCACTTATCGCCCAAGCATCTGTGCGCGGGTTTCACTCGGGCATTGCGCTTGGGGCCAGGATACTCGCTCCCCGGTCGGGTCAATTGGGCGAGGGTGCGCTTGCGCGCAATTGGCAAATAAATACATCTGACTCGTGGACGCGGCTGCATGGCGCTTGCGCGTACTATTTATATGACATATGACAATCGAACATGCTCATAGGCCGCGCGGCCCCCCGGTCGGGGCAACTGGGAGCGCGGCAAGTAATATCTAATATCGCCGACCGAGCCGCGAAAAAAACTGACACGGGCCGAGCGCAGCAAGGCGAAGCGGGCATTGGCGCGCGCGTTACCAGGCGATCCCGCGCGGGATCTGAACCACGGTAGCGCACCGGTTCCGCGATTGTCGTAGGCACGTTGGCGTGCAACGGCGAGGCTACGCTCCTTGCGGTCGCTTCGCGACCGCCCTCACCATGGGGCGTCGGCAGTGTGCACCGCACTAGAATTGCCTTTTTCTTTTACTCGCCCGACCATTATATTCAAGCATATTTAAAATCTCACGTTATGTGTCATGTATCCGCGGGCGGTGGTGTGGGCGGCGCGCCGTTACCGGCGGCCCCCTCAGCCGCTGCGCTGGGGCCCAAACCTTGGGAGCTACGTTGACACTTCCCGCGGTCGTACATTTGCTCGATACGTTAACGCAGTACGGTGCCCTGCGGGAACATTTGGCCAAAGCGCTCCCACCGAGCGCAGCGAGGCTAAGAGCAAGGTAGGTCGTTGTTTTTCGCCGACCGCGCCCTTCGGGCGCCCTTTTGAAAAGCGGTGTCCGCTGAAAATTGCCGCCGACCTGCCCTCCAGGAGCACAGCGGCGCACTCCCCTGCCCACGCTCCGCCGGAATGTGCTGCTCGGCTGCACAAACAAGATCTGTGTGGGCAGCACTTGCTGGGCAGAGGTGCGGTTTGGCCGGGGTCGTCCGAACACGTTTGAGTTTATAGCCATAAGAATATATTTGAAAACTGCGGAACTAAAAGCGCTGCCACTATATAACAAACATTAATCAAAATAGCGCTTTGGCCGACCGTCGGAAAAATTTGGCACTCTCTATTTTGCCCCTCCGGGGTCTTTGCTTTGAGTACCAGGAATATCTACACAGTACATTTGACCATGGAGGTTCGCCTGTTTGGCAGTCCATTCAGTCAAGTTGGATTTTAGCGCGCCCCAGCCATTGCTTTTGGACACGCACTCCAACCAAGCATTAAAATGAAAGCATGTTTGTACCGAACCGCTCGGCTGAGTTCTTTGTGTAATGATATTTAAATCTTTACACGGATGCCCCGGAACTTCCTGAGATTCCATTTTCATCATACAGATTTCACCGGTCGGATTTAATGTAATAAAGCCAAGATCTAGACGTGCGTTGTTTTGGACAAGCTCAGATACGAGGGGTTCCAAGCATGAAGTTTCAGAAATCGCTTGAAGAATATACGACATTCCAAGTACAAAAAGGTATGCAAACAGCATATTATACGTGAGCCAAATAGCCGCTAAGCCGCAGCCAACAAAAATAAATTTCCGATAATGGTCAACTTTTGATCCAAGAAATTCGCGAATTTTATACAAAAAAGCCATGTTATTTCTGAAATTGTTAATCAATAGTGAATTTGCTAGTGAATTAGCTTGTACTGTCATTGTTGCAAGGCAAAATTCCCCTGCACAGGCGACCCCGGGGCATTGGATAGCCTCCTTTTTTGCTTTACATGTTTTGGTGCCCTAGGGTCGACGCAGTTTTACCGTGGCGCTTGTGGACCGCAACCGTTCCTAAGGGGGTCGCTGACGGGTCCCAGCGATTTAGCGGTTGCGCGGCACATTTACCAACCCCGTTCGACCGTCGCGCGAGCCGCGAGTGCTCTTGCGGCGGAGCAAGCTATGGAAGCCATCGGCGCGCCGTGCGCACAAAGGCCTTTTGGCCCAGCAGTGTTGCTCGGCCTCGCTGGTTCGCCCAAAGCTAGGGGAGCATCCGACGCCAGAGCCGACGGCGCGGCAACTGCTCCCGCTAACAGCTTCGCTGTAATTGCTGTTAAAAGACATTGGTGCGCTTTCGATGACAAAGTGCTCGAACGCGCGCAAAACGCCGCCGCTGCCTAGAAACGCCCAGGTCGTGGGCAGCTCGTTTACACTGGCAACCCCCCCTACCCCCCGGTGTTTCGAGACGCAAAGCTCCCAGTCTCGCCAGAGGATCCGCCTCGAACAGGGTCGCTGAGCGTGCCTTGCAAAAGCCCCCGACCGGGACCAACGGATGGCGTGGGCGGCGGGCAAAAGCGGTGCGCCGAGGGCCGAAACCTAAGCCTCTGACCCAAACGCCACGCCTCACAGCGTTCGGACATTCAGCTGTCAGGCCGGCTCCCCCTTGTTACGGTCACGGTCGGCGCGGCTGTTGGACTCGAACCACACATACCTTGGACTCGCCTAGCGCTCGGCGATCCGGTGCCAAAGCCGAACTTGTTCAGCTTTTGCCGCGAAAACCGGCCGTCGGCCAGCTATGAAATAAAAAAAAAGACATTAGTACAGCTCAGCTGAACCTGTTACCAGGCTTACACCCGCTGCCTATCAACGTGGTAGTCTTCCACGAGTCTTGACACTTGTTTTGAGACACCCTTCTCGCTTAGATGCTTTCAGCGATTATGGCTTCGAACGTAGCTACCCGGCGGTGCCCCTGGCGGGACAACCGGTACACCAGAGGTTCGGCACTCTGATTCCTTTCGTACGACAGAGCGCTTTCTCTCAGTGTCCAACACCTGGAAAAGATAGGAACCGAACTGACTCACGTCGTTCTAAACCCAACTCATGTTCCGCTTTAAAGGACGAACAGTCCTACCCTTGGTACCTTCTGCAGCACCAGGTTGCGAAAAGTCGACATCGGAGCCCATTTAATACACCAGATTACTGAATTTTATAGTCAAAACAAGGATGAATGTAAGGGCTAATCAAATCAACAAATTTTTCACTGGATGCGCGGGGAAGACCCAGCCTATACATAGAACGGTCCTTTTGAATAGTGGCATTAATTAAAAAATTGTCTCTGAAGGCTTGCACAAGTATTTCTTGATCCTCCAAAGGAAAAGAATGCGTCGAAAAATTATAACTTCGCTGAGAAGATGTTCCATCGTCCATAAACCAATATGCTAATGCTCGTGGAGTTAAGAATTCCCCAATATTTTGTGGAATCCTTTTTTTTCGAAGTTTGTGTTCATCGATAGGATATAAAAGGTCATTATAGAACTGTAATTCTGGGTGGCCATAAGTGCGAAACCATATAGATTGCCGATCCTGGGCGCCACCGCCGCGAATATCCCGTACTTGTGGAGGTGTGCCTACAAAGTTTTCAAAAATGTCGTATAGATGGTGTATATAGTCGGCCCTTGTAATATTTTGTTCAAATTTAACACTCAATTTAGGTTTACCATATTGCAAATTTAAGGAGGCATCCCCAAGGAGAGTGCCAACAAGAACTTCTTTTTGCATAGAGTTTAGCTTAATAGTTTTTTTATATTCAGCTAAAGCGTGTCCTCTTAAATTGCGAGACTTGTTTTGTTTTTTATCAATACTGCTACAAAATCCCCGGGGTCGCCTGTGCAGGGGATTTTCTATAACTAATAGCCATGGGCGTTGAGTACGAATACTATAAAAATAGGTAATAAATTTTGTCATAATGATTATTGTTTAAGTAATTGTGTATTTCCGCTTTGTGAGGGCGGCTTCTTGTTTCCAGAAAGTTTAGACCATATAATTTGTGGAGAGCTCCGACAAAATGGCGTATGGTCGTTGAGGCACACACACAGGGTATTGCGCGGGATTGGGGCTCGCGCGTTCCCGAAGGGAAAGAGCCCGTGTGAGAGTAGCCTGCTGATTGTCCGTTCTTTCCAGTATGCAAGCGCCGAGCCAAGTGGTTCCTCGGAAGGTGTGCTCTCGCAAAGCGTGATCAGAGCACCCGCCATCCCCTAGTGTAGTGGCTCCAATAGTGATTGCGTTCGCTGCGCTCACGCCCTGTTGAGTGAAGTGTCACCCGTGTCGCGCAGTTGGGAGTACATAAGCTCATTGAATCACATGTGCGCGGTCTCCCCAGTCACTGCATTGGTCGACTTGCTTGTAGTATTATGAGTCAAATCGGAGTTTCCAGCATATAGCCAAATGCATACTTTGAATATTTTTTATTCAAAAGCCCCGATGTGGAGGTGCCAAACGGTTCCGTCGATATGGACTCTTGGGAACCATCAGCCTGTTCAAAATGTTATCGTAAGAGCTCTTTATCTCCTACATCAGACGGTTTCCCGCCTGTTCAGACTATGTCATCAACTGAAATAAGTTTCACTTAGCGCGTGTGTGCAACCGAGGTCAGCGATCAATGCACTTGCCGTGCCCGAAGGGGAAGGCCAGCAGCAACCGCTTGGCGGTGTTTGCGGTGTGCGAATCGAACCAGAGCTTGACTAGGTGTTCGTTTTGCTTTGTGCGTCGCAGCCGCAACCTGCGCGTCGAACCTTCCTGGGTCGAAAATCAAATACGTGTTAGTTATAAGTTTCAGTTGCTGGGCGCTCGTGGAGCGTTTATCGGTGGGACATCCTCACGCTCTAGTCGTTGAACGTTCTCACCTACATTTGATATGGTGTATCGTCCTTTCAGTGAGCTTCGCTGCAAATTAGCATGGACAATCTTTGGCCTCACTCGCCGGGCTCGTGAATGTGGTCCAAAAGTGTCACCTTGCTCTTCCACTCTGTGCCGGCAAAGCCTAAGGCCAGGGGAAGAGGACGTGTAGCGCGGCTTACTGTGCTGTCTTTAGCCTTCTTGCAATTCACCCAGTTATAGTGTGGTCCATCGTGGAACTGTGTGCCGGCCTGTGGCAGTTCACTGATGTCCACTAATATTTTGCCAAGCCGAAAGGGCGAGTCAAAACGTAGTCGTCGCGCAATCTCACGATTGTGGGGGGACAACAAAGCTATCCCCGGCGTACCTTTGATCCGTTGATCACAAACCCTTCCACACAGTGTTTGTGGGTCACTACAGCCAACTTTCGTTTCTGTTCGACTGGTGAGTCTCACAGTTAGGCAAGCTTCTACTGTTGCGCTCTACAGCTGATTTCCGACCAGCTTGAGCTTACCTTCGCACGCTCCCGTTACTCTTTAGGCAATGTTGTTAATCTAATCTTTGGTAACGAATTGGTCCGGCTGGCCACCGTAGGTGGACACGAGTCTTTGCGTTAACAGCAACGCCCAATTGCCTGGTCCCCACCGGCCGGCCGGCCGGCCGGCCGGCCGGCCCACAGGCAGGCAGGCAGGGAGGGGACAATTTCGCAGCAGAGCTGCCACAGGCAATTGGCCAATGTGGATTAGATGCTTTTGATTGGTGGCGGTCGACCACAAATCACAGGCTCTCCCGGTTGTCCGGGAGTTCAGACTATGTCATTTTTGCCGCGCTTCCCCGTAGGGGACGGGCGGCAAAGTCCGGTGTATAGTCGTTGTGATGTACACATGTATTACCCACGATTAGCGCCCGACTAGTGGGTAAAAAGAGTCACATCTGCTGATTTGCCGATCCCCAGAAGCGTGTGGGCCGGCTATTCCAGCATATAACCGGATTTGTTGAGATGCTTTTTGGGCACCAACAGGTTGTTGTGCGGTGTCCCCATTGAGCTCTCAGGCTCCTATTTGAAGCCTCCGCCCCAGAGAAACTACCCACCATGCACTGTCCGGTTATCCGTGAGATCAAATCTTATTGAAAGAGTGGTATTTCACTGATGCTGAGAGGCGCTTTGACACGCTTCTGCGCTCCCACTTATTCTACACATTCAAAAAGTTTGTTCAATACAAAGTTATAGTCAAGGTGCACGGGGTCTTACCGTCTACTTCCAGGAACTCCGCATCTTCACGGAGAATTCAATTTCACTGAGCCCATGTTGGAGACAGTGGAGCAATCGTTACACCATTCATGCGGGACGCCAATTATGCGCCTAGGAATTTTGCTTGTCTTATACATTAGCTAAACGACCGATAACTGATTTTAGCTCCAGCTATGATATTTAGCGACGGCTACCTTTTTCAAGATAGACTGAACTTTATCTTATACTGACTTTACACTTTCGCCAAGGACACCCCGTCCCCGATTCATCGCTCGTTTTAACCCTTTGATCCGCTCTAGCCCGTGGTCGGTTAAATGCAATTTTTGACTTATTAACTTGACAATTTCTTTAAATTTCTAAAAATCCAGTTGTTTAGTGGTGCGCAGATCTCCACCGGCCTCTATTATGGGAATCAATTTCAAAGTCAGGTCATTTATTCGGTTCACTTGAAAAATGTGCGCACCGTCTTTGCGAATCCAAGTAGTTCCACAACCCAAAAATTGTTTCAACGCCTGTATCAAAGGGTAATCCCGAGGATGCAACCCTATTATAAACTGTGGCCTAGGGTAATCTTTTACAATAGACACATGGAAACAACCTTCCGCATCTGCAAAACCCGCGAACCAATCATTTGTAATAGTCGACAGAGCTACTGGTTGACCAACGAGGAGTCCGAAGGACGCATTGTCGACATGCTCCTTTTTGCGTGCTTGTCTATATTTTTCTAATAGATTGTCAAAGTACTTTCGCATGGACGCAGCCAAAGTCTTCTTGGAGTTAGGAGTACGCGGATTTTTTTTTCGATAGTTCCTATATTCTTTAAAAATATGACAAAAACTCATAAAATCCTTTTGTTTAGAGCTTCGCAGCGGGTACTTTTCGAAAAAAGGGATTATACTATTTGCAATATCATCCAATTTTCCTACACTATATTCCAACATATTTCCACCTGCTGGCCTAATGTATCCACATTTAAAAAATTGATTCAACTCCAATAAGCTATCTAAAGATTGTAGATCCTGTGAGACTATAAAACTAAATCTCAAACCACTGTGTGTTTGACGGATAAGAAAACACCCATCTCCATCTACAAATCCTGTAATCCAATTAGGTTTTAATGTATATTCCATATTTATTTTTTTTTTATTTGCTTTGATCAACCGAGCTACTCGATGACACGCATAGCTTGGTGCGGGAGCGCGCTTCGAAAAACAAGCGAATTTTTGTTTTGTGCCTTCGGGGTATTGGTGCTTGCGAGTTGGGTAAATATTCAGTAGCTCCACGTAAAGTCTCTGAAGATTAAATCTTATTGTTTTTCTTGCGGATTGTCCCCGTATGTACGTAAGATTCTTACTAGACGGTTACACTTGCTCGACTCTGTCGAGCGGGAACAAGAGTGTGCAAGCACTTGTGCGTAGCGCAAGGTCGGTCATTAGTGTGCCATCATAGTACTTAGCGACTGGGTGATTTCCCCGCATACAGTGGAGTTTCATATTCCTAGTATCCTAGGAAGCAAGGCAGCGTTCCTAGTGAACGAACCTTAGGACCGTCAGAGTTACGGCCGCCGTTTACTGGGCCTTCTAGGTCCAAGCTCCCGAGACCGAAGTCGCGTTCACAAGTCCTGTTAAGTTTCCAGCACCGGGCAGGTGTCAGACCCAATACGTCGTGTTGCCACTTTGCAGAGTCCTGGGTTTTTAATAAACTGTCGCTGCTCCCGATTCTGTGCCACCTTTTTTTGTTTTGTGGAAAAAAGGCCCTCCTTATCCCGAGGTTACGAAGGCATTTTGCCGAGTTCCTTCAACATGGTTCTCCCATCGCCTAAGTTTTCTCAACCAGTTCACCAGTGTCGGTTTAAGTACGGTGTATTCTGTTTTCAGTTATTTCCCGGAAAGCGTCGCCCTAGGCAGGGTATCCAATTCCCAGGTCTAGAAGCATGGTCACTCCACCATTTAGGATCCCGGGCTAAGCCCGCTCACGGAACTCTGATGCGCTCGAACAAACCAAGGCTTGTGAATTAGAGCAATTCCGAGCCCCCCGCCCGAAACTGTTCTGGCGCGACCGGGGCCAAGCGAATCGTGGGTGGGAGACCGCTTGCTTTCGTAGATGAAAACACATCGGCGATTGTATTTACCTGTTCCCATCAACTAGTGTATCACCCCTCCGGGGTTAGTAATCCTTCGATTGATGTTTTAGGGGCCGATTAACCCCGCGTCGGTATGCGGTGCGCGGAAAACCGAGAACTTTCGGCGATCATGACTCTACATGATTTAACGTTACTCATGTCAGCATTCTCACTTCTGATTTCTCCAGAATACTAGAATCTTGCGATTTACCTTCGGAGAACAACAGAACGTTTTGCTACTTCTCTGATGTGGTGATGACCGCGACCCCCAAACTCCCCCCGCATAACACGAGCCTTATTTAGTCGGGCGAACAACAAGTAGGATACTCCGATCAAGTTGCGACTACCGTCAGTGCTGCTGTCACGCTTTTGTTTCGACCTTAGTGGGTCGCCAGGCGGGTCTCGTTATAAAGCCGTCCGAATTGGGTGCCTATCGTAAGGGGGGGTGCTCTACTAATGACTTGGCCTCGGCGGTGCCGGGCGGGACAGCGCGGCAACGGTGATCGGGCTATCTAGTTAGGCTCGCGATAGTTTAGCACATCATAGATCATCGCTTCGGTGTATGGCTTGAGCCCCGTTACATTTTGGGCGCAGTCGAGCTCGACCAGTGAGCTATTACGCTTTCTTCAAAGGGTGGCTGCTTCCACAGATATGTGTTATGGCTGCCGACCAAGGGTCGCAAAAATTGAAGGTCGGCAGCCCGTCAGACTATATTATGACTATGGCGCTTGCACGTCCTTATAACCCCCTTCGGGGTAGAAGACAACTGTAGTATTCTCGGCCCCGGCGTTGCCGGGTCCCAAGAATACTACCCGTTTGGCGCGCTTGCGCGCGTTGCAGTTGTCTTCAATATCCGCACTTAGCACTTAAAGCATAGTCTTTGACATATAGTCGTTGAGGGTGTCCGACTGATCAACCTTTTGTTTACAAGCAGAGCGGACACCCTGCTGGTGGTGCTTTTGGCCTTACGGATCGCTGCCCTCGACCATACTAAGCACGTTCCAACATATAGTCAAATTGTTGTATACTGGCCATCTCTGGTGGCCAGGCTACGGGCCTGGAAGAACCAAGCCCACCTCCTGGTTGTTTTCGCTCGACCACTTCCTTTCCCACTTAGCGATTGCGCCGCGGGAGCTCTTGGTCTCCCTTTTGCGCGCGCAAGCGCGCAAAGCATAACAAGTTTGGCCCGGCAGAGACGGGCAATCAACAAGCATCATTGCTTTAGGACCTTAGCGAATGGTCTGGGCTTTTTCCCTCTCGACCCGGGACCTTAGCACCCCGAGTCTGTCTGCAACAGAACGATCTAGGTATTCGGAGTTTCGTTGGGATCAGTAAGGCTTTGGGCCACCCTAGCCCATTGAGTGCTCTACCCCCTAGAACGTATGTGTTACGCTCTACCTCAATAGATTTCGCAAAAAACCAGCTATCTCCGAGTTTGATTGGCCTTTCCGAATGTCCACGGCTTTAACCATGGGCTAGACTATACCTTCAACTTGCTACCTATTTTAGGTACACGGGTCCGCGGCGGCGGTGGGGCATTGGAGCGGGGGGGGAATCACAAGCGTCATTCCAACGCGACCCGGCCAAAGGGCCCCGAACGGCGTTCGGGGCGGGCAGTGTTGCCAGAGGATCCGATTTTTTTTTTTTTTTTGTTGAATACCATGATAGGCTTGACACAGCAAGTGCTGGCGTATTAGCATGAGGGGCGGCCCCCTAGATGCTCTCCTCTTTCGAGTCAGTCGTTACGAGGTTCTATAAATGACCAAGGTGACTAGCCCGATCACCGCCACAGGAAGCTCAAAGGTGCGTAATGCTCGCTTTAGTGTGGTCCTATGCTTGCTCTCTTGTGGCGCAATGCCACGGAAATGGGTAGTACTTGGATTAATTGGTCAGATTGCCCCGGCAGAGACGCGGCCAGCAGCTTTATTGTGTCTATATTTATAGAACTTCCCACGGTATTACCTTGGGCCGCGATCTGAAGGGGGCCTTTAGGCTTCACCGTTATGAGCCAGTGTTTAATAAGCACGCGTGTAGCGCACACTTATGGGGCGAAAAGCCACCCCTAGCCACGAGTCATCTCCGCCTACTGCCACAGACGTGAGTTCGGTCTTTCAAAACGTGTTATCGTTTTTTCAACCTGTTCGTGGTTAGATCACCCGGTTTCGGGTTTAATTCATACAACATTTTTGGGCCCCCCAGTGATCTTGGTCGCGCAAGCGCCAACAGGGGGCCTTCTATCGTGATCATTAACACACTTTAGCCGCGAGAAGCTCGTGCTTATCTTTGCCTCCGCCTACCGGTTTAAGCATGCTTTATGAATTAACTCGCTGACCCATTATGCAAAAGGTACGCTATTTTCCCGACCTTGGCTCTTTTTTGCTTTTATAGGCGGCAAAAAAGCAGACGGAATCCTAACTGTTTGTAGGCACCAAGTTTCAGGATCTTTTTCACTCCCATTACGGGTTCTTTTCACCTTTCCCTCACGGTACTAGTGCACTATCGGTCAGAGAAATTACCCTATGCCTTAGGGGGTGGACCCCCGTATTCTAGCAGAAAAATGCCCGCTTTACTTCACGCAGCGGTGCTTAGATTATTCTGGGCTCCTCGTTTGGCATAGCGACGTTATAAGCGCTTTGTTTTACCTAACCCCCCTACGGGGGATTAGTCACCGCCTCAAAGGGGCGTCATAAGGCGAGTCTTGCGGGTATAAAAACGCGCCTTTTTATTGTTGTGGTTCGGTACGATTGCCTAAAAATCTCAACGGGGCTGTCACCCTCTAGGGCAGATCTTTCCAGTTTCTTTAGAGATCTAAGCAATACCTTATTTTAGGACGTTAGTCATATAAATACAACGCGCCACTTCTGGCGACGCCTAGTTTTTATACGCTCCGCCATGTTCCATAACGATAGGCCCATTTTATAATGTCCGCCGGTGCTTGGCATTTCCGCATTCGCTCACCACTACTAACGGATTCTCGGTTGATTTTAGTTCCTCCAGCTAATTAGATGTTTCAGTTTACTGGGTGCTTATGCTATTTTGAGCGTCAGCTGTTCACGCAAAGGCACTGTTCTCTGGGATTGTTCAGGCGCCCAACTTTTACCCCCCCCCCGGCCTGTTGGGTTTCTGGGGGGAATAACAAGTGCTATAGTTTTGCGCGTCCGGGGTTTTGGGCGCAACATTCGGGCATTTTGGTTCACTTCGCGCTATGGTCGAAGCCCAGACAGTCGACTGCTTGCGAGCTATAGCTGCGCTGCTCAGGTTTCCCAAACAGGGTATTGCCCTGTGCACAGGATATCCGCGGATCACAGGGTACTGCGCTCCTTCACGCGGCGTTTCGTTGCGGCAAACGTCCTAGAATTTCTCTGCCGAGGCATCCACTCAATGCCTTCTTGTGATTTTTTACTGTTACTCGGCCCCCGAAAGGGGGTAATAATGAAAGGTCACTCAGATAGGCTTTGTCGGGAGCCCCCTTGACTATCCGTTTGTTGCCTTACGAATGACTGGCCGCTGTAGGTGGTTAGAGGGTAGAATCCCCGTCTCTGCCGTGCCTTTTCGAGGCGCATCAAATGTACAGGACTCTCTGTCCCTTACCAGACAGTAATGTCCAACCGTGAGACGCGTATATAATGAGGAGGATACACGGGGTCCGTCAGCGACTGCGGTGCGTGTATACTCCAAGCCGTGCTCTCCTTATTGTCATTTAAATAGGC